CTAATGCGGTACTTCTTGCTTACTGTCTACTAACCATTGACACGACAAGAACCCTCTTAAGATTTCTGCATTGCCAACTTTGTCAAATACTTATGTGGAAATAGCAAGATCTTGGAGTACTTCGTTGGAAGAATAGGAAATGAAGGCAGTATTTAAGAAGGTTTTACAAAGAATTTATTATTTAAATTACTGAAAAAAATCATACCATATTTTAGATAACCATCTATAATGGCTCTATGTGCACTTGTGGGGAAAAAATTCCTAATACTGTAATTAATCAGCTTTAAAAATATGCGTGTCAAAAAAAGGGGAACAAACTCAAAATGGATTAAGAAATCAAAAAGTCAAGAGAAGGCTTATTAAAAGGAGAGCAAATGATTTAAAAACTCAAAAGCTATAAATCAACTTATGAAGTATGAAATTCACATCAGTCAAGCAGCAGTTTATGTATTCTTTGATTTAGTCCCCTTATAATCATAATGATGTCTAAAAGAAATCCTAAAACATTCTGGCATTATGAATATTGCTACATAAGGGCCTATCTCCTGAGGTTTACAAGCATTTTGTAATAGAGAACATTACTGTAGAGAAAATGGAAATTCCATGGCCAGGTTCTCACCTGACCCTGGTCAGCTTGCCCACTGGGCATGTGCAATACTCACAGGCACAGGATTATACACGCGTGGGCAGTGAGTTATCACTGACTCATATAAAGAGCTCTGCCCAGGGAGGGCCTGCAAGGTGGCGGAGTGGCCCAGAGGCAGAGACCGACTTGCCCATGAAGACTTGCCCTGAGGCGGATGGGATTCTAGCACTTGACTTGCCACCATGAGAATAAAGCTAGGTATAAACCCTTTCACCCCAAGAATGTTCCGTTGTCATTTTTTGGTCTCATAGAACCCACAGTGAACTTGCCTGGGGCTGAAACCTTCACATGAGACAATTACTTTAAACATTATTTGTTTAAAAAAGATACAGGTTGTAAAATGATTACACCTGTCATTAGAACAACCAGATTAAAAAATACATAATTAAAATGCTTTATTGAATTATTCTGATTATCTCTATTCCTTCCACACATCTCATTAAAGCATTAGTAAAAAAAAAAAAAGATGAGTGCTATTAATCCATTAGGACAAAACAAATTGGAAGTGAGAGAATAGAGGATGTTAGAGATGTCAATAAATTTTTAGAAGACTGTAAGCTGATGGAACTGGCCTGCTATTAAAGAGGAAGTTCAAACTTAAGTACCTTGGAGGGAAAAAGTACCTAGAAGCAAGCCAACTCACCCACAGAACTTCAGAAAATCGAAGAAATTGGTGTGTCAGTTACCTTGAAAAGTAGAGATAGGCCTTGAGTCTAAAACTTTTACTTTTCTACTTTTACATAGTTTAAACTTTTACTTTTCTACTGATTTTTTTAAAATTAAGGTATCATTGATATACACCCTTATGAAGGTTTCACAAGAAAAACAATGTGGTTACTATATTCACCCTTATTACCGAGTCCTGCACCCATACCCCATTGCAGTCATCCTTTTCTACTGATTTTATTATAAAACATTTTCTAGAACTTTTCATTCTCTGGCACAGTAAATATAACTGCCACCAAGTTCTACCTTATCTATTATTCCTAGAGCCTAAAAAGTATAAATAAACCCTCAACCAAAGATTATGACGTTCACCACTGGTTTTAGCATGGTGCCCAGATTAGCAGCATAAGCACCACCTGGGATATTCTCAGAAATGTTCATCCTCAGGCTCCAACCCGACCTTCTGAATCAAAATGTGGGAATGGGACAGGGCCATCCATGTTTCAGCATGTCCTCCAGGTGATTCTGATGCATGGAGAATTTGACCAATGGCTCTCAAACTGCTCTTCATAAACTTTTTGACAGTACGTCTCAACCACTCAAAACCTGGACAGGGAAAGATCAGTGAGGTGCTGAGGGTACAAAATTTAAGGAGGCGCTCACTCTGAGTTTCCAGTACTTATACTTTGTTCTACACCTACAATTAGTAATTAAATAAGTGTCACCTTCTTTCTTTGCCCCCTTTATAGAGACTACCTGAAATGCCTAAAAAGATGCATATAAGAAAAGATTAAGAAACAAGTATGAGCAACTCCCAAAGTGCACAGACACTGAATAATTAGTACTTGGCTATACTGATATACTGTTTTTAACTCCAAACAACATATTATGCAATGAAGATTGTTAAACACTTAGATATATTAGTTATGGCACCCTCAGAAGCACTGTGGGGATTAATCTGATATGTACTATTTCTCCAACATGAAATCTCAGCACATTTTTGATACTGAAGTTCTGAAGTATCTAAAATGCAAGGACTGGAATATCTGCAATTTTCAAACTTTGATCTATGGAGTGTCTGAGTTCAGGGAAGAAACCTCAGGGCTTGTTGTGGAGGTGGTTCTAATCCTCACCCCAGCCTCAACCAAAATGGTTCCATAGACATAAACATATTTCTTTTTTTTACAAAACAGTCCACTTAGCATTTTCTACAAGGTATCCTTCTTACACAGGAGAATCCGCCTAGTCTGAGTTAAAAGGAATCATAGATTGGATGGGGCAAAACGACAACTTTGCAGAATCATAAACTTGTTCTAAGTTTTGTGAAAATGATTAAATATATTAGCATGCAAAAAACCTGGCACACTTAATAAGTAGGCACTTAATAAATAGCAACTCCAATTATTACATCAAAAAAAAAAACAGTCCACTTAGAGGCAGAGTTCTACCACTGGAAAAAGGTATTAGCCTTACAAGGATATGAATCCAAATTTAGGACCTTTAATCTTATCCTAAAAACCTGCAAAGAATATAGCAGAAATAAAGGTAATAACACTGAGGAGAGATTATATAGTCTGTCCCGAAAAATACCAGAATTCAGTGTGATATGAAAATTGACAGTTCATGAAAAACAGTGGAGTGGCTCCCAGCCTTTTGTAAACTGTGGAAACCTGTCTTTAAATGCAATTTTAGAAAAAAAGTCCCCCAAATAAAAACAAATAGAGCTCATGTGGTTAAAAGTAAGGATGAGACAGCTTCTTTATTAGTCTTCCTTTGCCAGCTTCCTGAAACCATTCTTTTCCCCATCTGGATCCCCATCACATGCAAACCCAGAGAAGCCCCTGAAGAAGTACTAGAGAAACATGATGAAAGGTAAAGCAAAAATAAGAATATCACTTTACCTGAATTAAAATGAGATGTCCATTTTATAATGTTCACCATGTAAAAAGCTATAATTAAGTTCATATTAAATTTTTATAAAACAAACAGAATAAAGTATATAAAATATTCAAAGTACACAATGTACTAAATACTAAATACACTAAATACAAAGGCATACTTGGAAATCAACTGCTTTTTTCAAGGAATCATGACTTGCTATCATTGAGAAAAGGAGAAAAAAGCCAAGGTAATCCTCAAAACACTATTCCTACTTATAAAAACATAATGACTGACTGTTCCAATGTTACTGACAAACTTTTTCCTTCCTGTTTGGACTATCAACAGTTGTTCAAAGACGTCTGACATGGCCATATACTCTTTCACCAAAAAAAATCTTATACAACAACTATTCTAGAATGGGAAAGGCTTAGTTGATGTAGTAACAAGGGTAATATAATTACATAAAATATTTCACCAAGCATTCATATGTACAAACATCTGATTTTCTTTACTAAATTATATTTTCAAATAATCACCAAATTATGATCACATTTCACATATAATATTCTTAAAATACACTGAATCTGTTCTAACCATAAATGAATGTCAGAAAGTTCATTTACTTATTCATAACTTGAAATATGAAAGTTTAATTAATATACTTCATGTGATTACTTCAATCTAAACTTTAATTACTAAATTCTACTAAAAATGCACTATTGAAATTTACAACCAATCAAAAATAATGCCTTTGTGTTGTTTATCCATGAAGGTTGAAATAAAAAATGTATGATTAATTAAGGAATTCTTGCAGTATTTAAGGACCTCAAAATCTATTAAGAAAAATATTCCCTAGGAGCTGTGCTGGACCTTAACATTGTCATTTCAGAGTTAACAGAGTAGGCAATTTATTATCTTTCATTTCCTTTTCAATTTTAATTGTAAAAATGTAATAATATAGCTTTTATAAAGCATACACATGTTAATATAATTCTGAATAACTACGTTCTTTTATATTAAACATTTTAAGCAAGATGCCACTTTATTTTTGTTGCAAGAAAATCTTCACTCATGTGAAAAAAAACGCGTATTTTGCCAAATTTGGCTATTTGCTGCAAAATTTAAGAATGAAACAGTAAAACAAAAGTAAATTAAGCATTAAGAAAAAGTAGTAACCCTAGGTCAAAAAAACCCATTTTCACTATCATAGGGAAGAAATGTTGAAAAAAACATAAAATTACCAATTTTTAAAAAGTCTGAATCTAAATAAGAAAAAAGAAATTCAGTATGTATTGTAATTACCATTTTCAGTGTCTATGTCTTATGCATAAAGCATTTTATTTATGAGTTTTATAAAGTTTTTTTATAGACATGACCAAAAAACCCCAGTGAATTACTCTGTCTCCTCTTTGAAACAATAAGAGATTAATTTAAAGTAGTAGAGTTCTTTTAGTTTCTAACTTCACTAGTGTAAGCAAGCAAATATTTATGGAAGTGTCATTTTCTTCAGAAGTATTTTTTGTAATATTGATACATACTTGACAATTTAAGTGGTATATCATGTAATAACACAATTTTAGAATCAAAAATATTCATTTCAAAGACATCTAAATCTTTGTGCACTTAGGATCCCATTTTGTTTCTCACTCTAAATGCAAAATAATGCAGAATAATCTTCATTACTAATAAAAAATAATTTAAAGATAAGATTGTGTTTAGGATATACTTTTGAAGAGAAATGATAAAATAACACATAATAAAACAGAGCTATAAAATGCCAAAAAAATATAAAGGAAATTGCACTTACATCCATAGCTCTCTTAATAAAAGGTATCTGTGTGCCACTGTCCAGATCTTCATTTATAATAAGCCTTCTAGCCCACTGACCTGCCCTGACGACACCACTACCATGAATTAAAACCATCAGTTTCTGTGGATTTGTCAAAGCATCCGCACTCATAAAGATAAAACTCTTTGGTTCACTCTCAGTGGCATCTACCTGTAATTAAAAAAAAATTAAATAATAAGTAACTGTTTTCTGAATGGGCATAGATATAAGAAAACAACTAATGATTACTGTAAATTAAGCATGGCTATTATAAAATTATAGAAGTAAAAAAACTTTAAAATAAATTTAAAATATTCATTAGAGATTAACAATTATACATACGGTAGATGAGCAAAAAAGACACGATAGTAATTTAAATATAAAAATGTGTAAAAGAATATTGGAAATATATGTCTCCCTACATTACTGCATATTTAGTATTTTATCATCATTATAGATAAAAATAATTTTTGAGTGCTTCCTATGGTATAGATACTAAGCTAAATGTCTTAAAAACATTATCTCAATCCCACTCTCACTGAAATGGTACTATTTTTATACTCACTTATAGATGAAGAAATTGAGGCCTATAAAGTTTAAAAAACTTGCCCATGGTCACACAGCTATTAAATCTATAATTCTATTAGAGAAGTATACTGTACCAACAACAGAAAATGGAAAACTCAAGTGGAGGATACACCCATTGGAAAATCATACAGTAGCCAGGAATTCTACTAACTTTTAAAAGGTGTGAGAGGGAACTATTTAAAAAATTCATTCACCTATTATTTTATATAAATGGACTATGAAATTTTCATTCCCAGGGAACATAGGATTATATAACAATCATTTTATGAAGGAATATTATTTGTGTACTCTGATAAACTTATTTTATGCACTAGTTGTTTATGGGATGAAAGTGAATATTTTTATTCATTTGGATTGTATTTGATGCTTAGGTTTAAATTAGATGATACATAACTTAGATATGAAAGATTCAAAAGACATTTAGGGAGAGATAACTTCCGAAGATTTTTCATATATAAGCAATGGCACACACTGAGTGGTATTCCACATAAGCAGTGGACAGTAACTGGGAATGAAAGCATTTGTGCAGACAGGTCAGAACCAGAAGCTAAAGTCTTGATGGCTGGTGATATACACATCCTCAAATAGAGAAGCTTAATCCACATGTAGTGTAATGCAATAGATCATCACTTTGTCAACAGTATATATTTATACAGTTATCAAAATACAAAATGGACAAAAACTCTAGATATCAAAAAATACCCTGGATTCTAGAAGTTCCAGTCACTATTCTTGGAAGAGACAAAAATTACAATTTCTTTTTAAAACAATCAGGTAGGTATCAATAATAGATGCTTAGCTATTTGTATAAATAGCACAAAGGGCAATTCTTTCACCAAAGACAGCATGACCACAGGGCTTAAGAAAAAATACACTCTTCTCTATGAAGCCTTCTCTGACTACCTCCCTTTAAAAACCTTCCCTCAAATTCCCATCCTTTTCTCTGTGTTACCTTCCTTCATGGCATATACCATAATCTAATATTATATGCTTTACTTTATATATTTGTTTCTGTATCTGTTTATTAACAGATACAGATCTGCTCCCTCCACCAGCATGTAAGTCCAGGAATGTGCAGACTTTTCTGTTTATGTCCAGCTTCATACCCAGTGTCTAAAAGAGAGGCTGTTACATTCTAGGCACTCAGTAAATAAACAAATGAAGGAACTTTTGAAATATGGAATCATATCAAACATCACCAGTGACTTCCTTTAGATAAAAGGCATTTAACTAAATAATGCATCCTCTTAATGCATGTATTGCAGATTAAACTAACCTATGATCATAAGGAATTTTGAAAGAGCAATACATGCCAAGAATTAAAATGATAGAACTGCAGAGTATTAATAATTAAGTATGCTGTAAGAGACATATGAAGTGTAACATGACCAAATTAGCTTCACTTGCATGTGATGTCCAGAGTAAGCAAATCATGATGACATAAGTTGGGTATGCCTGAAGTCACAGAAGAACAGAAGTGGATAAGAGACAAGGGAAAACCAAATCTTAGAAGAAAAACCCTTTTACCTAGGAACATTATATGAAAAGACAGGAATCACTCAGTTAAAAAAGGTTTAAAAAAAAAAGAAAAATGTGGTAAGTACAGCAGAAAAATTAAAAAGCCAACCTGTTTGTGTATAATAAAAAAGAAGCCACACAGGTTTCCATTCATTTACCAAAGAATATGTGTAAATCCGCACAAATAAAAGTTCCTCTTAAACTCAGTGGGGCCTTAACAGATCCTGGAATGGCTTGGAAATAGACATCTGTTTATTGTAATGAAAAAACCTGTATCTATAGACTTTCCAGTATATGCTGATCATTATTTCTTTTTCCTATTTGACTAATCTTCCTGTTACCAAGGAACTGAGTCAATTTTTTAAGCAATGGAATGTTGGCACTGTAAATTCCACAGTAATCACTTTAAAACTGGAGGAGTACTTATTTTCAGAAGATGAAAATGTGTTTCTTTTTGTTATAATGCTGTTCAAGAATATTAATGGGCTACAAATTGAGGAAGCCATGAATAAATTCATAGATGTTTTACTTGAACATCCAGAAAAGTTGACTTTAAAAATATGAGAACATCAGAATATTCAAGGGAAAAAAATTAAACAATGTAACGGTATTCATGATTAGAGAGTCAGAGTAGAATTTAAGATGGTCATTGGCTAATATGTATCTCAATTTAACAGAGAATTCTGACTCTGCAGTTAGTATCTATAACTTACTCTGTATGAAGATAGTGCTAATAGTAAAATATCTATATGAATAAAATTAATTTTCCTTTATTAACTTATGTTTGGAAATAGCTCTTCTTTTTAAACACTTACCTTCAAACAGTGGTTTATTTATTAAGTTGAGCTTTCATGAAGGACTACATATATAGGTCATTCCAGTGCATCCCCTCACTTTACTGACATCAACTCAAAGAATAATTGGTCAGTGAAACCAACAATTTTTAGCAGTTAATTCACTTTGGGATGCTCATTCCCCCTACTAATTGTGATGTTCATTTAAACATGACTGAATAAACTGAATAAAAATTTATAGTCATGTTATTAAACTAATTCACATACCCAATATTCTATACAAGTGTGAGACACTATAACTGAAAATATTTTGCACTTATATTTGTGAGGTGGGAAGCAAACATGAGACATGACCATGATCTTTACTACCAAATCATAGGTTTCCAAAGTGCTATTATTTTAATGAAAAAAGAAAACAAAACAAATTTTTTCTTGTTAAATGGTTCAATTATAGAACTAAAACTCAGTTCATCATCAGGAAAAATATATATGGTGGTATTCTTTTAGTAAAAAGAATGACATTGTACATAACAATCTCACTGCTAGCTTTGGGATTTAAAAGAACTAAGGAGAAAATTAACGGTTGTGGGAGAAAAGTTTTATAACTATATAGAACATGTGATAATAATTTAAGGAAAATAATAATTTCCTAAAACAAAATGATTTTTGGGGCTTCTTTTCAATAAAATCTGGGGATCTTTACTAACCAAAAATGGGAATGATACAGGTATCATATAAAGTGTTCTCTATGATTATTAGCTTTATACTCTAAATTTAAATAAAAGGAAAATAATCAGATCTACAAAAAAGTCCTCCTAAACCTAATAATATCAGGCTTTCTATAAAGAAAATTAATGAAACCTTATCATATAACATGCTCTATACAGCCAGGCTTGTTCTGGAAATTTAGGGGATTGAAGTGAGTTTAAAGGTTCCATGGAACAACAAGAGTTAAAGCACTCCATATTAATAGTGTTGCAACAATGAATTAACCTAAGGGCCTCTAAAAAATTATTCTTCAGAAACTTCTCAAAGAAATAAAATTAACAAGAAAAGAAGATTGGACAAGTGACAGAATTCTTGTCTTTCCAAAAGACTAAATTCAATATACAGCTGACCCCTGAACAACAGAGATTAGGGATGCCAACCCTTGTTGAAAACCTGCATGTAATTTTTGACACCACCCAAAATACTAAATGCCTATTGTTGACAAAGAAGCTTTACTGATAACATAGGCAGTGAATTAACATATATATTGTTATATGTATTATATACTGTATTCTTAAAAATAAAATAAGCGAGGGGAGAGGGGAAAAAGATAGCAAAAGAAGTGAGGCAGAAAACTCCTCCCAAAACCACATATAACCTGAAAATACAGCAAATACAACTAATCCTGAAAGAGTAACCGGAAGAATGCAAAACAGACAGCCTACATCTGTGGAAAAAAGAGGATCTCACAGAAAAGGGTAAAGTAGCAAAGCCACAATCCAGCAGGACCTGAACCCTCCACAGCCCACACCAGCTGACAGGAAGGAGGAAGAAAAACAGAGTGGGGAGGGAGTAGAAGCCCAGGTCTGCTAAACACCCACCTCTGAAGATTTGCTCTAGGAGCATGAATCCACATTACATGGTACTCTGGACATCAGTGGGGTTAGAAAGCAAAGATAGGCAAAATACTTGGATAAACAAATTCCAGCTTATTGTGGAGAACAGGTCCTCACAATAGGTCACTCTGGGACAAAAGAAAGGCAGACACATTGAAAGACTTCCCAAAAGTGAGAGGGCTGCTAAAGGGGCAAGGATTACACAGAACTTGCTGCTCAGGAGAAAGGGCAGGTGACAAAATAGTCTGGGCTCACTCAGCCCAGCATGTTGGGAACTTTCAGGAGCTTCAGACACTCCATCCCCTTGATTGGCAATGCGGCACCCAGGTCCCCACTGCAACATACAGCCTGCTGCTCCTTCTTCCTGGCAGGCACCGCAATGCACACCTGCTCTTCCACCATCATGCCAGGCCAGCTGGTGGGTGGCCCTGCCTACAGAACATACAGGGATGTAATGCAGAGATGCCTTCCTGTGTGCTCAATCCACTGAACCTAGCAGTGGAGGCAGGCGCTGCAGCTAGGAAGCAGGAAAGAGCTCTTTTCTCCTGGGAGGTGCCAGGCACTGCACGCCTGCAACCCCCACCATTGCTCCAGGGGCTGGGCAGCTCCAGAGCATAGAGCTACTGGGCGTTAGAGGGTACCGCCTACACAGTTATTATTCCGTAGTAATCATTAGAAAAATGAAACAGCAAAAGAATCCTGTACAAATGAAAGAAAGTAACAAGAGACAGAGAAGGACATTACATAATGATAAAGGATTAAGTCCAACAAGAGGATAGAACCATTATAAATATCGATGTACTCAATATAGAAGCACCTAAATATGTGAAACAAATAGTCACTGACTTAAAAGAGAGAAACAGAATGAAATCCATTCATTTTAGGAGACTTCAACACATGACTCACACTGAAGGACAAGATAAACCAGACAGAAAAGAAGTAAGGAGACAGAGGCACTGAAAAACACATTAGAACACATGGGCCTAAGAAACATCTACAGAAAACTCTACCCAAAAGCAGCAGGATACATATTCTTCTGAAGTGCACATGGAACATTTTTCCAGAATAGATCACATACTAGGCCACAAAAAGAGCCTCAGCAAATTCAGAAGGATTGAAATTGTACCAACAAGCTTCTCAGACTACAAAGGTATGAAACTAGAAGTCAATTATGCAAAGAAAACAAGAAAGCCCACAAACACATTGAGGCTTAACAACATGCTCCTAAATAATCAATGGATCAATGACCAAATGAAACAGAGATCAAGCAATATAAGGAGACAAATGAAAACAAAAATTCAACACTGCAAAACCTGTAGGAAACAGCAAATACAGTTCTAAAAGGAAAGTATATGGCAATATAGGCTTACCTAAAGAAAGAAGAACATTCACATGTGAACAGTCTAAACTCACAATTAATGAAACTAGAAAAAGGACAAATGAGGCCCAAAGTCAGTAAGAGAGACATAATAAAGATCAGAGCAGAAATAAATAAAATAGAGAAGAATAAAACAACAGAAAGAATCAATGGAACCAGAAGCTGTTTCTTTGAGAAAATAAACAAAACAGATAAACCCTGAGCCAGAGGGTCTACACACATAAACAGATAAATCAATAAAAAAAGAGTCTCCACACATAAACAGAATCAGAAATGAGAAAGGAAAAATCACTATGGACACCACAGAAATACAAAGAATTATTAGAGAATACTATGAAAAATTATATGCTAGCAAACTGGATAACCTAGAAGAAATGGACAACTTTCTAGAAAAAGAAAACCTTCCAAGATGACCCAGGAAGAAACAGAAAATCTGAACAGACCAACTACCAGCAATGAAACTGAATTGGTAATCAAAACACTACCTAAGAACAAAAACCTGGACCAGATGGCTTCACCACTGAATTTTATCAAACATTTAGAGAAGATCTCATACTTATCCTCCTTAAAGTTTTCCAAAAGGTAAAAGAGGAGGGAATACTTCCACATTTATTCTGAGGCCAGGATCACTCTAATACCAAAACCAGGTGAAGACGCCACAAAAAAAGAAAATCACAGACCAACATCCTTGATGAACATAGATGCAAATATACTCAACAAAATGTTAGCAAACCAAATTCAAAAATACATCAAAAAGATCATCCTTCATGATCACGTGGGATTTATTCCAGAGATGCAAGGATGGTACAATATTTGAAAATCCATAAACATAATCTACCACATCAACAAAAAGAAGGACAAATGTCATATGATCATCTCAATAGGTGCTGAAAAGTATTCGACAAAATTCAACATCCATTCATGATAAAAACTCTCAACACAATGGCTACAGAGGGCAAGTACCTTAACATAGTAAAGGCCATATATGACAAACTCACAGCAAACATCATACTTAACAGTGAGAAACTGAAAGCTTTTCCTTTAAGACCGGGAAGGATCGGGAAAGACAAGAATGCCCACTCTCCCCACTGTTACTCAACATAGGTGGTCCTAGCCATGGCAATCAGACAACACAAAGAAATAAAAGGCATCCAGATTGGTAAGGAAGAAGTTAAATTGTCACTGTTTGAAGATGATATGATGTTGCACATAAAAAACCCTAAAGTATCCACCCCATAACTACTAGAACTAATGACTGAATTCAGCAAAGTTGCAGGATACAAAATTAATACACAGAAATCTGTTACATTCCTATTAATGATCAACTATCAGAAAGAGAAATCAGGAAAATAACTCCATTTACAATTGCATAAAAAAGAATAAAAGACCTAGGAATAAACCTAACCAAGGAGGTGAAAGACCTATACCATGAAAACTATAAGACACTCATGAGAAAAATTAAAGAGGACACCAATAAATGGAAATACATCCCATGCTCATGGATAGGATGAATTAATATTGTGAAAATGGCCATTCTGCCTAAAGCAATCTACAGATTCAATGCAATCCTTATCAAAATACCAGCAGCATTTTTCAAAGAACTAGACAAATAGTTTTAAAATTCATATGGAACCACAAAAGACCCTGAATAGGGTAGGGGAAGGCAGTATAGCACAGAGAAGACAAGTAGTGACTCTATAGCATCTTACTACACTGATAGACAAAGTGATTGCAATGGGATGTGGAGGGGGGGATTCTTGATAATATGGGTGAATGTTGAAACTACAATGTGTTAATGTGAAACCTTTATAAGATTGTATATCAATGATACCCTAATAAAAAAATAAATAAAGTAAGCTAGAGGAAGGAAATGTTTTTTCAAGTCTCAAACCTCCAAAAAGTTTTCTAATATATTCATTGAGAAAAAAAATCTATGTGTAAGTGAACCGGTGCTGTTCAAAACCCATGTTGTTCAAGGGTGAACTGTATAGTTTTAGTAATGTAAGACACTTGACCTAAAGTCAAAAGAAAAGTTTGAATCCAAAATACACTGGCAAATTATCTCTCTAATGGATGATTACAATATTGGTTTATGTATCTGTGTTTTACTAAATATAGGAAACTTTCCAAATATATAGACTTGGCCTACCTATTATTATAGAATAATGCTTTATACATTAGTATGTCACCAGCACTTAGAAAAGTGCATAGCACCAAAAAGACCCTTAAATAAGTATTTTTTGAATCAATGAATCAATGAATAAATGATTAACAATATGACCTAGGTCTTAGGCTTATCTATAGAAAGTTAAATATAAAATAGATTTAAAAAAAATTAAACTATGTAATTAATTTGTGAAGATGGGTAGTATTAAAAAATCCTCAAACCCTCCAATTCACAGTAGACTAACATTACCCAAAGAATTTTAAAATCTTATGCAAAATTTTTTGTAAACAAAATTATTTATATGTAAAGTTTTGTGCTTAAATTTATTAGTTTCATTATGTTTCCCCATTTTTATATATCCTAAAACCAAAGAGTTGCCAGTGTCAACAAAGATCATCTGATCTAGTCCCAATATCATTTCACACCTAGGATTAATATTTCTTCATTTTGTCATGTTTTACATTAAAAACAAAAAAAATTTTTGAGAATTGGCATCTAGGAAAAAATCTTAAAACTTTTTTACTCTGAAATGGAAAAATGTTCAAAATTTCAAAAAAGTGTTCCTCAAAAAAGAGGAGGAGCAGTGTTATAAAATAGGAAGCACCAGAAATGATTTGGGACTGTGTAGAGGAAACAACATAGAAATAAAAGGGTTAAAAAAAATCAAGAAATGATTAAAGAGATAATCAATGTTTAGTACAACAAAAAGCACACTGGTTTACTTCAAATTAATAACTAAAAATATACCAATAAAATAAGAAAATGTAAAGGAAAGAGGAGTCCTTTATTTGCATCATTTAAAAAAACACACACAGTATCAGAATTTCTTTCCTTTACAGTGAAAAGTAGTACTTTAAAAAAACCATCATGCACAATGACATAAAGTATACTGATAGGCATTAAAATATCAACACATTGGGAGTTTAACACTTAAACTTTTACCACAGTTAAACTAAAATAAGTTTTCTTCTGAACTGAAAACTATTTCATTTGTGAATATTAAGATTTTGTAAAATTGGACTTACTGGAATAGAGATTTTTTTCAAATTACAATCCTTTTCCAGGAGCTCATATACATACTTTGTGATGATCTAGGTAAAGAAAGAAATAACACATTAAGATGCAATGCCATCCATTATCGAAATTCACATAAATTATTATGTTATTGCTCTAAATATCTCTATCTTGGAATGTTTCTGACCCATGTTTCATTAAGAAATAATTGACATACATCACTGTGTAAGTTTAAGGCATGTAGTGTGATGGTTTGATTTAAATATACTGTGAGATGATTACAATAGGTTAAGCAAACATTGATCTTCTCATATAGATACCAAAAAAAAAAAATTTTCTCCTTGTGATGGGAACTTAGGATTTACTCTCTTAAGTTTCCTACATACCTCACAGCGGTGTTGGCTGTAGTCATCATGGTGTGCATTACATCCTCATTCTTACTTGTCTTTTAACTGTTATATTTTGATACTAAATTAAGAGAATTTTACTGAATACCTGTAATCATTTATTTTCTGCTGCTGTGTGAATAACCATGACCTTAATACTAAGAATTAGGGCCAGTAATACAAACTCAAAAAAATATGCAAGGTCTTTGTTTTTCAAAGCAATATTCTGAAAACATATTTTTTTTTCAGTGTTTTTAGAATTTGTCTCCCCTAGAATTTCCATACAGGTAGTATACCTAATATAGTACTGTCATGACTCTGAATCCAAACACCTCTTTTGCATTCACTGAATCACAAAGGGCAAGGTCAGAGGTAACATCCCAGTGAAGTCGGGCACCAGGTAGTATGACTGTTTGTGGCGGGCAGAAACATGGCTCCCCAAAGATGTCCACAATCTAAGTCCCACAGCCTGTTAAAATGTTATGTTACATGGTAAAAGGAACTTTGCAGATATGATTATGGTTTACGGACCCAAATATGGAGATTAGCCTGGATTATCCAACTGGGCCCAATCTAATCATACAAATCCTTCTAAGCGGAAGATTACAGAAGAACAGTGTGTCAAAAAGACAAAGTGAAAAGGCCTTGATTGGTCATTGCTGGTTTTGAAGATGGAGGAATATGACAAGCCGAGAAGTGTGATGGTCTCTAAAGGGTGGGATAACCCTCAGTTTGCAGTCAGTAAAAAAGCAAGACCTCAGTTCTGAACTTGCAAGGAACTGAATTCTGCCAACAACTCAAACAGTAAATGGATTCTTCCTTAGAGCTTCCAGAAAGGAACACAGCCTGTCCACACCTTGACTTCAGTCTGCTGGCACTCATACTGGACCTCTGACTTAAAAAATTGTGACATGATATTTTTATGTTGCTTTAAGCCATTATATTTATATCAATTTATTACAGCAGCAACACTATTTCCAAAAAGGAAAGCAGAGTGAGGAGAGAGATGAGAAAAAGCAATGATTTAATGATTTAATAGGTTTTAATGATCATTTTAAGGTGTGTTTCTCCCTCAAAAATGTTTTTAATCATGTATGCACAGTATCTCAGAGAGCAATTTTATCACCAACAATATAATTAAAAGTCAAATTTTATTAGCAAAAGTAGATGATTTTTTTTAGAAAATTAAGATGTCAGTTGCTTTGCTGCTGTAATCTGTCATCTAAAATAGATTCTTTATCTAACTTTCTTTAAGGAGTTCAAATTTCTTTCTTCTATGTGTATGTATTCATTCATTTTAGAAATAGTACTTTAAACATACACTAAAACAGCTTTATCTTGGCTAGTTATGGTAATTCTGAAGGCTATGATAGTACACTAGAACTAAGCAATCACTTGCAAGTTTCTAACTGAATAGTATACCTGTATCTTAATGTGGTAGTTAAAAGTATGTTCATTATGCCTTCAGCAGAAGCAAAGTACATTGGTATTGTGGACCTGAAATAGGCTAAAAATATGTAGAATCAGACTAAAAACATATATGAAGATATTAATGGCCTACCACTTCAAGAGAAATGACTTACCTAAATGAAATTAGCTAAAATCAGAGTCTTATAATTTCTGCAAATTCCTATCTATAAAGTTATAAAATATCCTTATATTTAAAGTAACAATAAAACCAATCAAACTTAACTCAAACAAAAATGAATTCCACCAGTATGCAAAATATTTAGAAGACACAATTTGAGAATTAAAAAATCAAACTATTTTGGCAGTTCATACCTTAAAGTCAGTATGAAATACAACATAGCCATTCATTCTCAATTTTTCATACTACAGGATAATACAAAACAATTAAAAAACTGCTTATATTTGGCTTTGAAATACATTATAGGGCAAGTGTCTGTTTTGGATTTCATAATTTCAAACCTAATAATAAAACCATACATCAAGTAGAGTTAGAGAAACAGTACCGAACTTGCCCTATTTGCCTTGTTCTCCAATTCGTAACTGCAGAAGAAAAGTAACCGAAGACTAAACCATCTCTCTCTTAGGCAGTCTCTCTGCCTGTGTGTTCTCTTCAGCCCCAGTCATCCTCCAAGAGATAAATCATATGTAAATTCTTGCAAGTAACTTTTTCTGCCTCACCCCAACCCTCCAAGGTAGAGAAATGTCCCACCTCTATGCTTCTCTGGACATGACTGAATATCATTATCTAACATACAATCTTGACACCATTTACCCTTCTGTTACCTGACTAGCCTTTGAATACTACAATTTTGAGTATCCTACCTTTACTCTTTCTTATGTCCACACAGGATAGTGTGGGGGCACATTAAATGTACTTCAAAATGGCACATAAATTCTCCTCACTATTCATCCTGTCTACATCTTCTGAGGGAGGAAAGATGTTTCAGGGTTTTAAAAATCTTTCCTAGTTGCTGAAATCAGGCTTAGAAAAAGAAAGTATCAGGATTCATTGCTTTCCACCTTGCACAGGATTACAGTCTGCTCAGAAAAATCAACAAATGAAAAGATAATTTCAACATGAGATAAAAAAACTCCACCCAAATGTCATCCGCTCAAATATTCACTGCAAACAAATACCCACTGAAACAATGTTTCCAATGAAGTTCATACATTGAAAAGACTTTAGCTAAAGCATGCTCTAAAGTGAAATCTTCATTCTAATAAGAAACACAGGAACTTGTATCTGTTTCTAATCTCACACATAAAGTACCTGGAAATAGTCACTTCCATTCTCATGAAAAAAAGAAGAGCTGAACAAACCAAAAATCAACAACTCTTCTTAGATCTGTCAGAGAATTGAGATCAGAGGGCAAACTGCAATTCTGAAAACTAGAGAGACAAACAGGCAGATCCAGAGACTCAGGGCTTATTGGGAGCAAAAGCCCAGGTACAGAAGCTATTGGTTGAAGCCAGTACACCTTAAACTGTAAATGATAAATTGTTGAGGCTCAGTACAGACTAGCTTAAAAATTAATAACTGGTAGGGACTCAGCCTTAAAGGTGGATTCCCCATACTTTTGTGAGATTTACTTCTATAATCTCCACTAGTTTCTCACTGTGAAGACCAGAGAAAATCCCCTCCTGCTTACAGGGTGGAAAGGGGAAAACTAAAAATATTCCAGAACACTGTTCTCAATATGGCCTGCCCACAAAAGAAACTATTTTACCAGAGACTAACTGACATGAATTCAGGCTCACAAAAGACTGAGACCTAATCATTGGGCCATAGGACATTTCCTCCCACCCTTACCCACCTTAACGCCACTTCAATAGGGTTCCCATATAAAGTTACAGAGAATTACAGCTAGAAATCCTACCTAAATAGAAGGACTACACCTCATTTAAAGTCTCTAGGAAAACTCAACGACAGCAGGGAAGACAAAAACAAGGACATTAGAGGATATTTAAACCTTGGACCTCAGAGCTACAGCAAATAGTAAACTCAGCCTAATTAATAGCAGATAAACCTTAAAACCTCACACTAATAACCTATCTGTCAAAATTTCTTTTACCCAATACATCGTGTCCAGCTTTCAACAAAAAAATTACCAGGCATACTAAAGGCAAAAGGATAAGGGGAATGAGCTAAAAAGACAAATCAGGCATCAGGAAAAGATTCAGATATGTCAGAGAATTTGGAATTATCACACTTTGAATTTAAAACAATTCTAAGTAATATGCTAAAGAATTTTTTGCAAAAAGTGGACAACAAACAAGAACAGATGAGTAATGTAAGCAGAGAGGTGAAAGCTCTAAGAGAGACTCAAAAGGAAATATTACATCCAAAACACAACAAAAATGAAAAACGTCTTTGATGGGCTGACTCATCAGTATACTGGACATGGCCAAGGAAAGAATGAAAGAGTTTCAATATATGTCAATAGATGCTTCCAAAACAAAAATGCAAAGAGAAAAAAAGAATGAAAAGATGGAATAGCAGGTCCAAGAATTGCTAAGACAATTACAACAGGTTTAACACAGGCATAATGGGAATACTAGCAGCAGAAAGAGAAAGGAACAGAAGAACTATTTGAGGTAAAAATGGCTGAGAATTTCCCAAAACTAATGATATACAAAAACCCCAGATCCAGGTAGTACAGAGAACTCTAAGCAAAATAAATACCAATACTACAACTACCTACATTATATTAAAACTGCACAAAACCAAAGACAAAGAGAAAATCTGGAAAGAAGCCAGACCAGGGGCAGGGGAGATTTTGGTTAAGAGGGGATGAAGGGGACAACACTACAAGGAAAAATTATAAAGACACCATACAAGCAAGAAAAGAGTGGGCTGAAATATTCAAAGAATTGAAAGAAAAAAACCCCACCAATCTACAATTCTGTATCCAGTGAAACAATCCTTCTAAAGTGAAAGAGAAATAAAGACTATCTGAGGCAAGCAAAAATGGAATTTTCTTTTTTTTTTTAAGTAGATCTTCCTTGCAAGAAATGTTAAAAGAAATTATTCAGAGAGAAGGAAAATTATATGGGTCAGAAATCTAGATGTATATACAGAAAGAAAGAGTACTACAGAAGAAATAAAGATAAAATACTTTCATTTTTGTTATTCTTAATTGATCTAACAGATGATAGTTTGTTCAAAATAATAGCAACAATGTATTTGGTGATTATAGCTTATAGGAAAGTAAAATGCATGA